GCTGACCTAACAATGGATTCAACATTATCATTATACTTCACGTCAGCCGAGAATATCAGCCCGAGAAAGCACAATAAGTTACTTTCATGGGGGTTAGCATCAGCCATGCTGATGGAACGCAGAAAGGGGGATCTCTAAGATGATCAGCTATAAATATGTATTAACATTGATAGGTTAGTCTGACACAAGGCTACATGAATGGTATATTCAGTTGGAATCAAATTCAGTATCATTTGGTTTAATTTTTTCACACCGAAGGCAATAAAGCCACTAAGATGCATGGTTTTACTGAGTGAGAGAGAATACGGTAAAAATTATTAAACTGAGAGAATAAAAAAAGAGCAGGAATTAAGAAGAGATTGCGTTTCAATTCTTGTAGGGCAAAATTAACCGTGCAGCAGAAAACCTGACAAGCTACACCCATATGTCTCAGTTGCGTGAGGCACCCTGAATGATCTTCCAGTCCACTCAGTCTTATTGTCAGACCACCATGTTTCTAGCTGTCTACCTCCTTTTCTGTTGACTTGGGTGGTACCTTTTTGTAAAGATAGTTGACATACGATTTCCATATTCCTTCTTTGTATTGTGATTATCCCTGCGGCGTGTTCACCCGACCCCGCAAAAATTGAATGTTCAGCAATCAGAGCATAAATTGATGAAAACATGTCAGAATATGAAATATATATGTAGACTTCATACTGCATAACGCTTTGAAACACTGAACAGAATAAGCGAAATTGTTCGTTAAATAAAGACATTTTCATAAGGGCACCCAATTGTAACTACATCTTACATCTGGTTAGGATATTTTACACCGTCAAACAATGTTTCGGCAACAGACAAGGTTAAACTAGAAAGCCGTTCCACATAGATGACGCTATTGTTGCCGAAGTACAATTGTGCATCCAATTGTTTGAAGCCACGTTCTTCGAGGAGGGCATTGACAAACTATATACGATAGGGTCTACGTAATAAAGCAGCCTGGGGATAACGGGTGAACAATGGCTTATTTGCCGAGCAATAAACAGTTTTGTTCAGAACAGGTTTAAATTATTTAGACATATTTTTTAGATATTCCGCGCGGATATGGACAAAGCTTCTTCCTCAGTACTGCCAGCGTTATATTTATTAGGCATATTATATGAATAGACACTCTTCTTTAAACGGAAAACTTAATGTCTACCTGCCTAGAGATAGAAATTCTTAATAAGGAAAAAATTAATAAAGAATCGAGCGCGTGTGTCCCGTTTTTAAATAAAGGAAGCCACATTCAAACTAAACTATTAAGCCTCAATAATCCATAATAGCAAAGCAAAGCTTAATTATACGACTTTAGAAATGCACACCTCGCTGGAACATTTCAAATTTTCATGTGGTAACATTATTTTCGCGCCCAAAAACTAAGCATAGTAATTTTTAAACAAGTTTTCATTTTTTTTAATCCAACATTGTTTTTTTATATACTAATAGTTTAAGTCATAAGTATTTCTATTTTTGTGGGGAACCAATTGTAATGATGAATGTATCATCCTAATTAACCGGTCCCTAGATATATCATAACAGGTGATGAATAATGGGTTGCTTACAACAATATTCAGCGGATTGATAAGGATAAACCTCCTCAACTAACCCCCAAAAGCTGAGCTCCGTGGAAAAACAGGTAATGTGGTATGATCGAAAGGGTATTATTCATTTAGAGTTCTTCAACCGTAATCGAAGACTAAATGCACATTTATATGTCCAGCAGCTGCAACGTGTCCATAAAATTCGTCAATAGGAGAAGTGTTATTCGACACATACAAGAACAAGAGAGAAAAAATTGGGAACTCGGTAGCTCTCTTCATGTTCGTAACTCGGTTCGATAGTTTTTCCCTACCCGCCATATGCACCTGGCATATCATCAAGCGAATTGAAAAGATTATTGCTTCAGAATCTAACTTACCTATCTATAAGTCTACCATAATATCCAAAATAAGAATCTGCAAAGTCACTTCATGTCAGCCGAGAATATTAGCGCGAAAAGACGCAACGAGTCACCCTCCTGGAGGTCAACATCATCAAAAAGGGGTCGCTCAGATGATTTACTGTAAATATGTATTAACATTAATAGGTTAGTCTGGCACAAGGCTATATAAATGATGTATGGTGGAAATTCAGTTCTTCTGTTTAATCTTTTCAGCGCAACTAGTAAGAGAGAACAGTAGAAGTGGGGGAATTAAGAAGACAAAAATCTACTAATAACATTGCGTTTAAATTTTTGTCGATCAAAGTTCATTGTAAAGCAAGAAGAGGGAAGAGATTTCTACCAACAAAAAGTGCGAGAGAAGAAACTGTTAACATAGAACTTACGGTTATATATAGTCATTTCTGTAAAAAATGATGCCTAGCTTTGTGGAACTCCTGTATTCCAACCAACATTGATCTTCAGAAATTTAAATGCAACATCAATTCCTATCGACTCTCTTCCTGATTACTCTCTAATTCTTATCTCTCCCTAATGTTTCTCTTTTTTCTTGTTCTTTCACACTCAGTCCCCTCTTGTGTCTTAGTGGCTTAATTACCTTGCATGGGGTGATATGATTAAAAAATCATTCAACCAAAACTTATCAAAAATAGCCACAGATATGCAAGGAGTTACTGAGTGTGAAAGAATACGAGAAAAATAAAAACATTACTAAAGAGACAGAAAAATAAAAGACCTGAGATTAATACGACAGAAAATAACGATTGAAATTATATTTAAATTTTTGAAACTCAAAGTTCAGTGGAAAGCAAGAAACCTGAAGAAAGTTCTGTCAGCGAAAAGCACAAGATATAAGAACATTGTTAGCATAAATCGTACTGTTGCATCTTGAAATTTCAGCTGTAAAAGGATGAGACTTAGCTGTCAACCGAGTTCTGCACTTAAATTCGTAAATTCGTGCTACCAAAAAAGAATGCTTATCTCAATCATATGTGACACTATAAAAGATTACAGGTTGAGAGGAAAGAGATACTATCGTGTCACTGGTAGTGTAAAATTAGGATTAAAAGAGTTCATGCGAAAACCCTGTATAAAATTGCAACAATGGAAATGTTTGAAAAAAAAACGTTAAACAAGAAAACGTTAAAGTGTGAAACAGGAATTGAAATATGAAGCAAAGGAAAAAAGAGAAAAGTTTTGTTTTTCTTTTCCTGATAAACTGATCGGCGAATCACTCATGTTATGAATACGAAAGCTGGAATGTAAAATAGTAGAAAAATTATTTACCGAATTGGAATAAATATTTAAACACAAAAATTTATTTACATAAACAATAATTTTGGGGTAAGAGGAATGTAAGAACGAAGTTTATTGTTTTGAGATACCAGGCCGCTTTGTTTTAGGGTCGATGTCATGACTCCAGGGTTGGTGAAATAATTAATTGGTGAATACGTAATGAGCTTGGAGTGGTAGTGAGAGTTAGGTGAGATAAATATAAACCAAACGCTCAGGCAGAAGGAGTTCCCGTTGAAGAAGGCTGAGGCGAATCAGCTGGAGTGAGGAAACAGTTGAACCTACATGACCCGCGTCGAATTCCCGCTAATCAAACATCTCGTATTTAACCCGCCCCAAGTTTTTAGAAACAAGAGACACGGTGTCACGATTCCGCCAACTCCATTCAGCGCTTAAGAGCTGAAGGAAGTTTTGTCTTCACTGCACTGTGAGCACAATGTGGGCAGAGCAGATGTATGAACGAAGCTGTCACAGTAACCATCTGTTGACCAACGCCGGCCGTGTTACAATTGGTGACCAGAGACCAGGATAAGACTCTGTGTGTCATAGTTAATGACGTGGCTAAGGCCACGACCCAGGAGAAGCCAACAGAAAAATTAGTAGATCAACCAATAATAGAGCGATCAAAACTGTGATAGGTGAAAAATAAGGTCATTTCATTGTCGGGGTGGCACCAACAGACTTTAGACAGTTTGACTATAAGGTTCTAAAACTCCCAGAATACTTTTTTCTTTGACAAGTAAAACGACGACAGGACAAATCATATAAGAGTCATTTTGGCTTCCCGTTTTTTTTGTCTTGGCACATCTTGCACCTTACCAATAGAATTCTTTTTGTAACTGGATTTAGTCAGGTTGTTTCTCTTTTCCCGTGTGACAGCAAGCTAAAAATTGAGCAAGTGTGAACCAGATGATGGGACCGATCGCTCTATAAATGGAAGTGAAGCGAACGGGCCTAAGGTGTGGGATGAATTTAGAGGCTTATTGAAAGAACCGAGGGTACAAGTGTATAAAGGGGATCCAGGTGGATTAAAGAATAGGCAAACTGCGATAAGTTTTATGAATATTGGAGCGTGGGTTCAAGGTCGGAAAGGCAATATGAAGAATAGGAGAAAGCACAGCGAATAGGGACGTAGGATGGGTGGAGGAGCGACCAGAAATTGGGAGAAAGGAAAAGAGGTCCCCAAGAGGAGAGATTTGGTCATTAGGGCAGGGGTTTTAGTCGTCCACACCTGGCAGACATTGATTAATCTGCTGGACCGGTAAATCCGGAGGCCATCAGGAAGTAGATTGTCCAAGAAAGTGGGGACTACTCCCAAATTTCGACGAGTCAAGTTGTGCTAGGTGCGACCAGCTTGGATATAAGACCAAGTGGTGTAGGACCATGAAAAAAAATCACCAGAGCCCCTGTCAACAGATAGGCCCCTAGAAGACAGGGCTAAGGAAACGCCCAGTGATCAACCCACTACAAAAACTTGATTTATGTTATGAGAGTGAGATATCGACCTTGCTTTTTTTTCTGTCCGCTGATTGTAGGATATATGTGAACTTAGTGTCACTGGTAAGATCGAGTTTAAGTGGATTAATAATAGTTGTGGACCACGCCGTTGCTGGGTGAAGGATGGGTGTCGACATGTGGTTTGGGGCCGCCGAATTGATTGTTTCCCATACTGTGTCGAGATGATGTAATGTTAGCCTGTAAAGTTTTAAAACACACAAGATGGAAATATTGGTGGATGAATTACCAGGATATCCGTAGGGGGGACGAAGAAGAAGAAGAAGAAGAAGAAGAAGAAGAAGAAGAAAACTTGAAGAAGAAGAACGTTCGAAGAAGACTAGAAGAAGAAAAAGCTTGAAGAATAGAAGAAGAAGAAGATTAGAAGAAGAAGAAAGCTTGAAAAAAAAGAAGATGAAAGCTTGAAGAAGAAGACTAGAAGAAGAAGAAGACTACTAGACGAAGAAGACCCGAAGAAGAAGAAAACTCGAATAAGAAGACTCGAAAAAGAATAAGAGTTCTCGAAGAACAAGAAGAAGAAGAAGATTAATACAAAGACTGTGAAGAAGAAGGAGGAAGATTAATACAAAGATGTTAAAGGAGAATATACAGAAGAAGAAAAAAGAAGAAGGCTGGTATGAAAGGGATGATACTACTGATGATGATGGTGATGGTTGGAACCTGGAGGTACAACCAAACTACGATTTTCAAGAAAACAAGTGAAGAGATAATAAGATGAAAATGGTTAGACAGATTTGAACTTCTACAAATTGCTGTAAAATAAATTGGGAAGTGAAATACTTAAGCTGATGTCAGCTAGAATGAAGATAGCGGAGAATTATATTAAAGAGGAACAATACCTTAGATTACTGTACTCCCTGACACTGGAGATTTCCATAATGGAGTATCGATGGAAGGATATGGAAAATTATTTAGAAGGGATCGAACTGTTACAGACAAGAGGGAAAAAGACAGTAATCCCCATTGTTGGAAAAGCGTTAATCGTTCTGTTCGGAACAGTAAACGAAGTTGAAATTGAAGTCATAAGGGAAAAGCTGGAAGGAGTGGAAAAGGATCGGAGAATGTTATCCCAGGTGGCACAAGAAAGTATGCGATATATCGATAGTGAATGCGACAAGATTAGAAATGGAAGAAAGCAGAATAAGTACACATGAATTAATAAGCAATATGCATAAATTGAGACAAAAAATGGCCAATATCTCTGTGGTCATGGCGATTGACTTACAGGAGTTAAATATTTTCATCCCTCAGTATTTCCAATTAATGACTATTCTTAATAAGGTACGTCAGACTAGCCAATCCGTGATAATTTTGTTAGAGCATGTAAAAACCCAGCTGGACATGTTATTACGACATGTGTCCCCGAGTATAATGTCACCTGATCCCTTGAGGGAGTTGATGTTGAATATACAAACTGAGGCCGATGCCATGACTCCAGAATTGGAGAAAATAAATAATAGGTGAATAAGTAATGAGCTTGGAGTGTTAGTGAGAGTTAGGTCAGGTGAATATAAACCGAATGTTCGATTGAAGCGGGCAGAAGGAACTGCTGCTGTTGCAGGCTGAGAAGAATCAGCAACAGCGAGGAAGCTGTTGAACCCACGTGACCTGCCGTCGAAGTCGAGCCCACCTAACATCTCGTGTGACTGTTTAAGCAGGTCTAAGTTTTAGAATCAAGAGATAGAGTGTCATGATAGGCGAATAGGGAAGATTAATTTTGTTGTATCAACGATTATAGGAACACACTGAACATTAGCCCAGCGGCCTTCTTCGTTATTTGTTATGATATTTATGTTTTCACCGTCGGAAGCATTATTGTCCTCTTTTTTATAGCACGGTTCCGCCAACTCGATTCAGATCTTAAGTACGAACGGAAATTCGATCTTAACTGCACTGTGATCAACGAAAACAATGTGGACAGAGCAGATGAACGAACGAAGCGATCAACAGATAACCATCGGATGATCGACGACAGTACTGTCTAGCGTGAGAAACGACCCAAGATCGAGCCGGGCTGGCCGTGTGACGTCCCCCAGTGTCGCTTCGCCAATCGTGTGGTCTGCCTGACCGCGCCCACCGTGCTGTCTTGGTCCCGGCGCCAATTGTGACGTCACCCCGTCTGTCTCCGCGCCGTCGCCGTCCTTTCCTGTCCCGTGGCGGCCAATGTGACTTGGTATTGGTCGCGGCACCAAATGTGACGTTCTAACCTTTTGCTGATTCGGATGGGAATCTGGTTAGATTCGGTATCATCCTTGTCGTTCTCAGCTCGCCTCCAGCGTCTGGTTACCGAAGTAACTGTTTTGATTTCTAGTCTAACCTACCCACGTTGTGATTTGATCTTAGGTAGACGAAATCAATCAGTCGCTGGGCCGTAATGCAAGCTGAGACCGGACAAAGGTAACACCGCACAAGTATATGTAAAAGAAAATTAAGTAATAACTCGAAAAGTTCAAATGTGTTAAAAAAGGATAACAATATTTTATATCTGGTTGCTGAATACAGGACTGAGTCTTCTTCCCAACCCGCTATATGGATTAGTGACACTTTGTGTTTGTTAGGCGAGTCTTAACATCTTAAGTTGTTTGTTCTTTAAGAAACTGGTTCTTGGTGTATCTTCAGGCGATATTCGTAAAACTTGTTTTGGTGGTGTGAGTCTAAGTCGTTCTTCAAAAATAAATTGTTCTTGGTTAGAAGTTGAGGTCGTGATTTGCGTGGAATCTTTCAGTCAGGTTCCTGCGAGGCGGGTCTCAGCTCTCAGCTCACTGCAACTGCAACTGCTCAACTGCCAACTGCTGAACTCAACTCAACTGCCGCTTGTTGCGACTCTGCTTATATGGACGCCGACCAAAACCGGGGTGGGCTTGTCGGGGTTTGAGGTTCCTTGATAATTCTAAATCCACAATCCACTTCTTTTTTTTTTTTCGGTCAGGAAAATTTATTATTTCCATTTTTTGAAGTCTTTTTTCTTCCCCATTCTTCCCTTTTTTCATATTGGTATCTCACCCAATCCCCTCAGGGGGGGTCGTCAACAGGTTTCCCCTCTCTCTCATTGTGGCATCTCATACCGATCCCTTCAGGGGGGCGTCAACAGGCCTCCCCCTTCTTCACATGATTACCTCCGCCTAACGCTCACGCCACCATTCAGCCAATGGGCGCCCAGCAGTGTGGGTGTGGCCAGACTAGCCTCGGTTTAAAAATTCTTGCTCAAAGAAAAAAAAAATCTTCCTTTTTTTTTTTTTTTTTCTTTTTTTCTTTTCTTTCTTTTTCTTCTCGACAACAACCCAATACGACCCGTAGTGTGGTCTCTTAATCTCAATTTTATCCTGAATTTCACCTGGACTTCATCAATCGGGATTTTCGCCAATTATCAAGTGGGTGGTCATCTGGCGATATCCACGCTGCAGCCAATTATCTGTTCCGATAAAATAATTTTGCTATCATGGCCAGCTTTGACAATAAACAGGTGCCTTTTCCAAACGATATCTCCGTAGATAGTTAATGGTTTAATCTTTCCTTCCTGGTATTCTGCGGGTGGTCCAACGGACATTTTTTTTTTTCGGTCAGTGCCTGCTTATTTTTTTTTTTTCTCTCAGTTTCTGTTTCGTAGGCCACTCGACCAACCTGAAACTTTCATTTTTGCCATATTCGGTGCGCCGTCATAAATCAAACGCGACAGATCAAATTAACCTTACTTTTCTTCTACTAATGAAAATAAAATCTTTACCACTTTTCTTTGTTAGAAAAAAACCATCGCTTAGTGTCCTTTTCGTGATGGCTTCTTATCACCTAAATTTAATTCTCGCCTTTTTTTTTTTTTTTTTTCTTTCTTTCTAGCAACCCTAAATAGTGTCACACCGTGTTATACATATTTTATAAGTTATTCAAACCCAATTGATGATCATTTTCTAGTTACAACTTCTTTTCCCCATGTTTTAATTTCCGGTTCATTTATATCCCATTTACACATATCCCTTGTATATAAATTAACCAATTTTAAAACATGGAATGAAGTATCGATGTGAAATAAATTATTATTTTGGTGTGTTTTCTTGATATAATTGTGCTAGTCAAATGCAATTTCTAATTTTAACTATTTTTACAGAAGACAAAAATAACCTTTTTTTTTTTTTTTAAATGATTTTTTTTGACGTTTCCCAAGTTTGTTTTTGTTTCTATTGATGATCTCTTTCATCCTTTAAAAAAATAACGTGGTAAATAAATTAATGAAATATCATTTCCATACAAATTTTAATATATATCTTTTATATTCTAACATTTTCTACACTGTACAAGTTAAGTTACTGTTGTGTGTAACGCGTCCATACATGACGTGGGAAAAAAAAATTCTCTCCAAGTTAGAATTATTCATCGCTAACAATATTTGTTTTAAATTTTTAAGTCCAATGGTGCTTTGTGTTTAAAAAAGTATCTATGAAGGATTGATGCTAGAGCTGTGAATTCTTGCATGCATTAATTTCAACCCTTCTTATTAATAACACCATTGCATTGCAACCTCACTGTTCAAAGAAGACTTTTATTACCTAACAAGTTTTGGAAACTATAAAGTATATCGCTAGATATATATAAATTTTACATGCATTAATTTCAACCCGTTTTATTACGAAATCAATTGCATCCTTTCAGGTAATCTAACACCTGACTGTTCAAAGAAGACTTCAATCTAACAATGACTTCTCTTGAAAATTTAATATCATCATGCTACCTGAAGAAAATAGGTTCATTCCCCAAAAACATTCATTCTGAGATAGTTGCGACATGACTGGACGACACCGCAGCTTTTTCAACGGAGCCAAAGTTAAATAGCCGTTGAAGGAAGGCAGAGTGTTCTGAAGCTGAGACAATGTTTTTTAATCGATTTAACTGCCACCACTGAGGAAAACATTGATCGTGTTCACCACATGGTGATGGATGACAGGTGACTGACTATAAATCAAATAGACAATGCGAGAGAATTAAAAATACACTGCATAAGAAACTTGGCATGACGAAGTATTGTCCGTGGTGTGTGCAACGTCTTCTGAAACCCACCTGGTTAATCACAATGACGGTAAATTTTTATATAATGCATTGTTTTGAATTTTGTTTTTTTTAACGTTTCCTAACCTATTTGACTTTGAGTTCATATCTTTGTTCCAGAACAAAAGTTTTAGGTCTTTCAACTGCAAATTTTTTTTTTTATTTAACAAAAGGAGTTTTTTTTATATTTTCAAAAGGGGCCACAATTATCAATGGAGAACAAATTTGAAAACTTTCTGATTTAGATATGGAAGACTAATCGCCGAAAAAAAACTGACGAAAAGGATCTGTCTATATTTCTGAGATGAGGTATTATGTACACTATTTACATTATTCGGACTATTGTTCTCATCAATGTTTCGGCCGTTGTACGCTCCGGCCTTCTTCAGATGTTTGGAATGTCGAACTGAACCCTTTATTTCGTTCACAATATCAGAACTGGTAAAAAATAGTTGCTGAAGATATTAGGTTTATAATACCCAGAAATTCATACTCCAGATGTCCTAATTGAGGACACATGGCACAAAAAATAAAGGGAGTTAGTTAGATCCAGTGACAAAACTGGAGTATCCATTCAATTATGGCGTTAAGGGATAATGGTGAAAATGAAATCTTGGATTTCAATTTATGGAGATAACTTTCTTCCCCTTTGGGTCCGTTATCCATTAAACATGGCACATGGAATCTAATCCAACAATATCAATTACCCCAGTATAGCCAAAACAACCAATGTTGAAGAACGATTTAAACGTTGTAAAAAAAAATATGGCGACAAATATTTCCAGGACAATAAAACAAAAAAAAAACAAAAAAAATCTTATTCGGAACATTAAATTTCTTTTTCTTCTATTTTCTGATGTGCGTCTCTGTGTTTTTGAAATGGTTGAATTTTTTTAATCTACCTATCATCTATTCCCCAATAGGAAAAACACTTAGCCGAGAACCAGTACCACAGTGATGATGAAGTCATAGCTGCTGTTGATGACTTTTTTGACCAATAGGATTAAAGCCTCTTCACTAGTCGGAAAATAAACCTTATTAGTACAACTTCAAGAAAGAACTCCGCAAGTGAAAGTATCAAGAGAAATGAAAAAAATTAGCTTTGTTTTCGTTATTTCAACTAAAAAAGAAATGCCAATCTTTAAACCAATCTAGTAAATTTTTAAGTTCAGAAAGTTTTATTATTTTCACGTAAATCATTCGAAGAATTACCAATCTGTATTTATTTGATAAATCAAATTTATTAATCTCTGTTACATAACAAAACGGGTCAAACCGAAGCTCTGAAAAAGCCATGTCAGGACAAATAACATTGCAAATTGTTTTTTGGATCGTATCAAGGATCTCTAAATATAAGCGAAAGTAACGGATTTGATGTGGCAGAACTATTCTAAACATTTTCGAATTGAAGACATAAATATGTTTTTCTATCTTCTGGAGAGAAAAAACTCTTTACGACACAATGACCCTTTTGTTAATATTTTGTTTACTGAACAGCTTTAACATATCAAAGTGAGGGTCATATGAGGAAGAAGAACGATATGCAAAAGAAATATACTGAGAAATGTCTACAGTATATATAGTCAGCTGCTGAACCCTCTTGACGAGTTTTAAAGTTTATTG